GCCCTTAAATCGAAGTACAAGGAGGTGAAAGATCACAACAGTAAAAGCGGTAATGGGCGAATCACATTTCAGTTTTATGACCAAATGGACAGAATTTTAGGTGACAAGCCCAGCGTCACATCAAGAAATGTTCTGGACAGTTCCCGCGAAGAAGAGTCACAAGTTAGGGAGGACACCGATATTTCTACAGGTAGGAACTGTCATGCTCACATTAATGTTTGCTAACCCACGTTGTCGTCTTATTGGCAGATAGGTAAATGTCATGTGTTCATTGATGTTACAGGTTATATTAACGTTATACACTGCCAGTCAAAAGTTTTTGAACATAAAATTTTTAATGTTTTTCAAATAATTATATTCTGCTCTCTATTTATTTGAGCCAGAGTACAGCAAAAGCAGTAATATTGTGAAATATTGTTACTAATTAAAATAACTGTGTTCTATTTGAATGTATTTTAAAATGTAATTTATTTCTGTGAACAAAGCTGAACTTTCAGCATCATTACTCCAGTGTTCAGTGTCACATGATCCTTCAGAAATCATTGTAATATGCTGGTGTGCTGTTCAAGAAACATTTATTATTATTAATATGTTGAAAACAGATGAGTATAATTTGTTAAGGTTTCATTGATGAATAGAAAGATCTAAAGATCAGCATTTATCTGCATTAAAATGCTTTTTTAACATTATACACTATACCATTCATAAGTTTGGATGGTATAGTGTATAAAAATAATACTTTTATTTATCAAGGATGCTTTAAATTGATAAATTTAGAATGTTACAAAAGATTTCTATTTCTGACAAATGCTGTTCTTCAGAAGTTTCTATTTATCAAAACATTTAAAAATTCTACTCCAGTTCTTGCATTAAGAAATTTTGAGCAGCAAATCAGTAGAATGTTTTCTGAATGAATTATGTTCATGATATTGAAAGAAATGTGTGATCCTGCCCCAGTCAGTGAAAGTGTGTTCCCTACCCCAAGTTCCCAGAGGGTTAATAAAACAATTACAATCCATGATTTGTCAGTTGGTTCACACAGATCCCAAAAGAAATACGCCAAACTACTAAACTTTTCATTGGTTGCTGTTATGGAGGTTCCTTTGTGCTCCCTGATTGAGCTTTTACAAAACCAGAGACTATGGGGCATCTTGGATCTCATCAAAGAACACTTAGTGAAGACTCTAAGCCCGATTCTGTGAGTACATCTTGACCTTGGGGGTAACCCCTGTTTACTTGGGATGCTATTGGTAATAACAGCATGGGTTTCAGCTCTCAGCAAGGAAGTTGATATGATTAAGTGGGAGTGAGTAAAAAACTGGGATTTATCAGATATTATGCAGAACCTTGTGATTCCATGCCTAATCTGTCATGTGACTGTGAATCATCCTCAACAGTTTGGGTAACAATTAAGTTACATGGCAGTATTCCAAGGGCAATTTGCCCCACTGTGAAGACATGTATGTTCATCATGTGCATTTCTTTCACATTTCTTGGCATGGAACAACTGGGTGGAAGGCAGAATAGATTTTTGGCATTCCCCTTTAACTGTGGATTGGTGCAGGCCATAGAATGATAAGAGAATGAAAATTGCAAGATCTTTGCCACCCAGGTTCAAAAGGCAGATCAGGTTGTTTCTAGGGTAGGCTAATTCTCCCTGGCTCCTTGCCTTTGACTCCCCATGAAGGATACTTGGATCACCTGGTGGTTTGTAGGTTTGCAGCCTTTTAACTTCTGGGTGAAACACATAGAAGGGTGGACCTGTCCTGTCCCTCCTTCAGTCCCCATGTCATATAGATCTACTCACTGTTCTAATCGAAACAAATTTTCCAATAAATCATATAAGACATAAATAGATATACACGGTGTATAGTTTTAATTAGCATCTAGGCAAGAGTGTTAGATTTGACAATTATCTGAACTTTTTAGCAGTGGTCTTGATTATTGATTCACTGTTAATATATCAAATATGTTAGGCCTACCAAAAAACTGGATGTCCAGTCCAAAAAGGCACCAATTTGAAGCAACTGAATAATTAAACATTTTTAAATTTCTTAATAATCACAATAAAATTCATGTAATGGTATAGTGCCAAGGATTATATTTGTAGATTGTAGACCTATCTCTCTCAATGTGCATTAAAATAATTTCTTCATTGAAAAACATTGCATTTCAAAATGACTGACAACTGTCAGTAATGATTGACCATTTATAGTATGCAATTGAATATTACCACTGGGATTTATAAGTCACTAATGCAGTTTTACATTTCTTGACCAAAGCTATCTTGAGATCAGCCATCTTGGCAGGTGCTCCAGCAGCTGGAGGCAGGATACTGGCTAATGCCGATTAATGCATTAACTAAGGCATGTGTCCTTTGTCTAGACACTGTTGCAAACCGGATGTTTTTTAGATGATCTCTGTGCCAGACTGCTTCTCGAGTGAAGAAAGCAGAACAAAGTTTTTTGTTGAAAAACAGTTAGAACTAAGACATTCAAAATGTAATTTGGAATAGTCCTACTACATTAATTTCGGACACCACAATAAAGTGGCTTGAAGTAGTGGAATCATGCAGTCGATGGGAGACAGTGAACACCGAGTCAAGGGATGGAAGAGCTAAAAGAGGTAATCAATAGCGTTATCCGTGTAACTCAAATTCAGCTCTGTGGTCAGGACAAACTTCCCACTCATCACGACTAGTTTTATATAGGTATACATCTATAGAGTATGTTTGAATCTTAATCAATGAAGAGATACATTATCTCATGAAACCAGAGGAAGCTGCCTTTTGTACTCTTAGCTATTACATGCCTAATATGAGCACACATATTAGTGCCAGTAAGAATTCCTGCACTTTTGGAACACCATAGATATATACTGGAGTAATATAGAGTCAACTATGCAGGTTAGTTTTAACATCAAGGTTTTACTTCATTATAATATTTATATGAATCCAGAATCTTAATCCACCTGAAAGACTGGGCCCAATATGAAAGTGGATTTCTAGCTCAGAGACTTAAGCCTGGGGTATGAAATATTTCTCTGGGTTGATGGAAACATGGAATCAGGTGGCATCTGTAGACAATGGTCAATAACATCACGATTGTGAGTAACGTCCTCAGGATGTACAGAGGAGAAGAGCAGCTGCTGCAACTTCCTACTTGCAAGAATATGGATGATTCATTAGTTAATGCTCTAAGAAATAAATCTAAACCAGGACATATCCTGTCCCCTGAGACTAACAACAAATTTCAACCTATCCAAGACAGCTTAGTGATCTGTAGTGTCCAAGGTGACACTTAAGCCTTCATTTGCAAGAACAAAGCCATTATTGTATAGTTTACCCGCAGTGCTCTTGTAGTTAATATAGTGATCATTGAGAAGACAGACAACTATCAGATAATAAATCTGTATATCTTGGGCTGGGCCCCAAGATCAAGCTGTTTCTAATGAGTTTGCATGCAACTTGTGTGAAGAACTTGCAGACCTGGGTGAGATTGCTGACTCTAATGTGATGTGGGAGATCTGATAAGACCCTGAAGGTTGCCGAGGGTTGTCTTGGTGTTGCCAGTGTTCCCAGAAGGAGGTGTCTCACCTCACAGAACACCCTGGATATTATCAATAGGAGTTACAGCGCATGACTTGGTGGCAACACCAGTCTGTACTGGGAACTGAGGAGGACGGCTGTCAGGGCTCTTAGGGCAGATTAGGAAGTGTTTGTTAGATGAATCTGTGAGCAGGTGACACACCATCTGTGGTCTAGTGAGCCATGTCCTCCTTACAGAGGAATCTGTTCCTCAGAGACTTGCAGTCAGGGTGGGTGATGGAACATTCCTTACGGATGACACTGTAGTTGTGACTACTTTGAGCAGTTGTTTAAAGCTGACCCTTCAGCTAGGACGTTGGACATCTGTAAGTCCATGGTTCTCGAGGCTGATCTTCCAATCAGCTGTGAACCACCAAATCTCACTGAGATTGCATGGGTGATGAATCAACTGGGGGTAGGGAAGGCTGCAGGGATCTGTGGTATGGTGGTAAGGCTGTCCTCCTGGCATTACAGGCAATCTTTGCTTCCATTTTGGAGGCAGGTGTCATCCCAACTGACTGGAAAACGAGACATATAGTCCCTACCTGGAAAGGGAAGGGTGATTGCCTGGATTGCGATATCTACAGGGGGATAACACTGCTTTCAGTGCCGGGTAAGGTCCTTGCTAGGGTCATCCTTAACAGTATCCGTGATCACTTGTTTGCCTACCAGTGACTGGAGCAGTGTGGTTTTAAGCCTAAGAAGTCTATTATTGACCGCATCCTGGCACTGAGGGTTCCCATTGAGCACAAATGCAAATATCAGCAGAGGATCTTTTCAGTCTTTGTCAATTTTTGTAAAGCGATTCTGGGGTTCATCAGCACATGCTCCCCAGCCTGACCTGACCTGAATTAATCTCAGCATGCTTTCAGGCCGTCGGGGCCAACTTCATCTCTTTAATACAAATATCACTGTTTTCTTAGGGTTATGACCTCACTCGCAGTTTTACTAAGCTTAACCCTATACTCACAGTTTCCCTAACCCTATACTCACAGCTTCCCTAACCCTACATTCACAGTTTCCCTAAGCCTAACCCTACACTCAGTTTCCCTAAGCCTATATCACAGTTTCCTTAACCTACACTCACTGTTTCAATAAGCCTAACCCTGCAACCACAGTATTTATCCATTATTTCTATAATACAAGATCGTAATGTTTATTTCTGTTCTTCGTGGAACAATCTGAATAACACAGACTGAATAACTGCTGATTTTTGCTAAATATCTCTACTTCTTTAATGTCTAGTGGTAAGGATGGCGTAGTGGCCTCCCACCTCTGAGGTTAGGGTCTAAATCCTGCCCCTCCTCTGTGTTAGGAGTCTGCATGTTTTTGCATTGTGCGAATTTCCCAATTTACTGCCAGAGGAACAAAGCCTACAAATTTCATAAAAGTTACAAATGTGGGCCTGAAAACATTTTCTACATGACAGTCAACATCTAAATCTGTGTGGAGATCAGACGTGGTGTGGTGGACCTTTGTGCGACGCTGTGGCCTCACATCATTCCAAACCCTGGCTGTGAGTATATGGAGTTTGCATGTTCTCTGTGTGCCTTTGTGGGTTTCCTCAGGGAAGGCCAGTGTCCTCCCACAGTTCAAAAACATGTAGTTACTTGAATTTGTGTCTCCATATTGCCCTGTGATAGACTGGCTTCCTATCTCTGAGTCTTGTGCTTTGTGGGATACATTCCAGGGCTTGTCATTTCAAAGATATTCTGACCAAGTCGTATAACTATAACAATTTGGTCCATGTCAAAGTCACTCAGATCTTTAACCCTGTCATATCTTTTTCATTAAACATGTTGACTCAAGTACCAAATATGAGCTTTCCCTCTAATATATCCCAGACCTTAACATGTATCATTTTTACTAGTCAACATTATTCACTTCACATGAGGTATAAATACAACTATGATTTATAAACCATTAAAAGCAAAGATTAACTGGGTTAATTTGAAGTACTTATAGTTAACCATGTTGCGAAAGGTTGCATTTAAAACTGAAGTTGGTGTATAATGAATGGTGAAATAAATAGAAGGAGCTAGTGATACTGAAGCTAAACTGAGAGTGAACGCAAACACTGTGAAGGTGGAATTTGTCCCTGTGGATAAACATTGGTAAACACCTGTTACTGGAAGAGTCTTATCTAAACATCCCCCTCCTCACTTTTTCTTTATTTCAGCCAGAATCTCTTGTTAACTATCAGCCCTGGTTCTGTTTCTAATCCAAGTATGAATTAGCCAAGTTAAACAGCACTGTTGTTCTCTGCACAATCTCTGCACTATGTGAACAGCTCAGGATTGAGAGTGTGACTCTCTTGTCTAGTTTTGGCAAGATCTACTCTCTACATCAGGATCTATATATCATCTTAACATTGAAAATCATGGGCTGGATTTATCATATAATCGGGTGAGTTTTGCCAGTTAGATCTCATTGCGAAATTACTGACCCCAGCAGTGTCTTATCGGTGGACCTGGTTCCTCCCAACTGTCTGTTTGAAAAGCTCTATGATAATAATATATACAATGTATCTAGCTCAGCAGATTCCAGCATATATAATCCCTGTAATGCATTTTCACAAAATCTTTGCCTCATTAATGTGCCATAGCCTTTATACATGTAACATTATTTGATGGACCTATATCATTGTCATGTGTTAAATGTGAAGGCAGATCCCCACTCCTGCCTCACAGTGTCACCTCACCATCACTTTCTCTACAGGCTGCTCTGTGTGTGTCACTGCTGGGGCTCGCTGAGCTCCTCTGAACAGCCACCACTGTTTGGGGAGGTGCAGACCCCCCGGTACCCGCAGCCCTACCCAGCCTCCAACTATGAGGAGTGGGAGTTATCTGTGCCGGCAGGCTACAGGATGCAGCTTACCTTCATCTACATGGACATGGAGCCATCAGTCAACTGCTTTTATGACTCCGTCACGGTCCGTGGGCCTTAACCCCGCTGGTCCCCACACTCCCGTCTTAGTGAGAAGGACCCTTCATGTTGGTATATATCCTTTGCAGGTTATGTATGACAACAAGGTGCTGGGAAAATTCTGCGGTCAGGAGAATTCTGCTGATGGTCATCACCCTGGCAACAAGCCCATCCTATCTCCTGGCAATCATCTTCGCCTCATCTTCCAGAGTGATGACTCCAATCCTGGGTCACAGAATTATGTTGGATTCTCTGCATTTTATCAGGCTATTGGTACGTCATGGGCACCACATGTTGGAATGGTCTACATTGGTTTTTGTATAACCCCTTATACTGTATGTATGTCCCATTCAGATATGGATGAGTGCTCCCAACCAGAGCCCGAGGATGGGTCCGGGCCCCTATGCTCCCAGATATGCCACAATACTCTGGGGTCATACTTGTGCTCTTGTCGCCATGGTTTTGAGCTCAGGCCAGACCAGCGTACTTGTGTCCGTAAGTATTATCGCATAGTATACTCAAATACACTAAGTTTAAACTGACAAATTATCAGCAAAAATATGTATAGCCTTTAAGTATGAATGAACCTTGTGTTTATTAAAAATTTACTGGGATAAGAGTGAGGAGATTATCTGAAAATACTATTTTAGTGCTTTGGCCTGAAAAGGGTGTGGCATTAAAATTTAGCTATATTTCAGCATTTCTTGGTAAAAGAGTCTGATTCTTGTGTTTGAAGTTTAAATAATAGTTTACATTTTTTTGCTGTAGAATACAAGATTTTATGCTGGATTTTCCTTATTGCTTTAAATCAGATAACAGTGCTGACCTAGCCCTAATACATGCTTTTTAGAGTTACATGCTGTCTTTTGTAGTTGAGTAATATGTGTTTTGATCTTCAAGAACATAAGAAATTTACAAACGAGAGGAGGCCATTTGGCCCATCAAGCTCATTTGGGGAGAACTTAACTAATAGCTCAGAATTGATAAAATCTTATCTAGCTCTGATTTAAAGGAACCCAGGGTTTTAGCTTGCACTACACTAACAGGAAGACTATTCCATACTCTAACTACATGCTGTGTAAAGAAGTGCTTTCTCAAATTCCACCTAAAAGAAGAGCCCTTCAAGATGATGTTTTCAGTACTGTAGACTTATCGGCAGCACAATTCTTTGCTTCTATCCTGTGTGACCCAGTGAGACACAAAATATTAAAACTGTCATGTGTGATGATGTGAATATTTCCAAGGCAACAGAGCATTGGCTGTAATGTTTAATTTGATATGTCCCTATTCTCTCTTTGTCTGTCTCAGTGCAGTGTGAGGGGGGTGTTTACCGTGAGATGGAGGGCGTCCTGTCCAGTCCAGGCTACCCCCTGGCCTCCCCTCATGGGCTGGCTTGCCGGTATCACATCTCAGTAGAGCCAGGGTTCATAATCACCCTAAACTTTTCTGAACTCTTTCATATCGAACATGTGCAGGACCATGAGCCAAGCTGCCTCTACCACTGGCTCCAGGTAATGCCTTCATCTCATCATGTCCCAAAAGCATGATCAGACACTGTCATGTGTTACTTAGTATTTGTTTGCCATTTGCCTAACCCTAACCCCTTCCCCACTAAGGTATCCATTCCAGGGAAAGCCCCCCAGAAATTGTGTGGACGGCAGAGTCCAGGGATGATACTGACCAACTCGAGTTCTGTGGTGCTGGAGTACCACACCGACTGGGAAGGCCTGAGTTACGGCTGGAGGCTGAGCTACAGCACAAAGAGTGAGGCGGAAATGCGAGTTCTTAGCATGATAGTTCTTTACTGTTAATGACGAAGAATTAGCATTACCGTGACAGGAATTCTGATTGCTAATTGCAAATTGCTAATGCATTCTCTCTGTCATTCAGTAATGATTCACTTTGCTCCTTAGGGGTGCAGTGTGAGTCCCCACACTCAGTCGCTCAGGGTATAGTTACTCCCACCTTCCCAGAGTATCTCTACAGGGACTACATCCAAGTGCGCTGTGATACAGGCTACAAACTCATGATGGTAAGGTGGGAATGGCAGCATGGTGTGGCTGTGTGTAAAGGCTTCTCTCACATCCCCTCTATTGCTTCCAGGGGGACAGAGAAATGTCAGGGTACTTCTCCATGTGTCAGAGTGATGGGACATGGCTCCGCTCCCTCCCCGAGTGCCGCAGTGAGTCTGGCTGCTCTCATACTGTATGGGCCGTGGTGCCCTCAGACGCACAGTCATTCTGCCCGAGCCTTGTAACTCTTTCGGAATCAGCATCATGAATTCCTACCACAGCAATATCAGTAACAGTAAAACATTTTTAAACCCTCTCAAAACACAACCACTCTTTGTTTCTAACTTGAGATAACATTTTTTGCCAGATACCTGAAAACCTTGACAGTTACATTTCAAAAATAGCTGTTCAGGTTGGATTGCATTTCATTCTGACATGAAGTTTGAGAATAAGCCTGATCGTAGCTCACTTTTTAATTCCGCATATTATTAAATAATATTTTCCAACATAATTTTTTTTTACCTTTCTCTTTGAAGAGAAGTCCCATTAGGCAGTCTGTTATAATATCGTGGGGCTTCATTCTAAAATGTGAAAAATAAAATAGAAACATTCACTTACAGTGATCCCCCGCTATATCGCAGTTCAGCTATCACACCCCCACTATATCGCAGATTTTTCCCCGCATCACAGTTCTCTGCGTATCCCATACCTTGCTTGTGGTCCCATTGTTGTGAGCAAACTTTTCGTTTTGTTTTAAGCTCTATAACTTAAACTATAAAAAATGTTTATTTATATGGTCTTTCTATATCATGGATTTTCACCTATCGCTTTTAAAGCGTGTGGGAGGGGTATTTTAAGGCTTAAACTATAAAAAAAATCTTTATTTATATGGTCTTTCTATATCATAGATTTTCACCTATCGCTGATGGGTCTGGAACATAACTTCCACAATAGGTGGGGGATCACTGTATTCATAATTATTTATTGCATCCTAAAAAGAACACTACATTTATCTACATTATGTTAAAGGTGATACATTAAACAAAGGGAGGCCAAACTTATTCACAAAGGGTCGGTGTGTATGTGGGTTTTTGGGATGACCTTTAGGTCAGCTGTTCAAACCCAGGACTCTTCAGCCAATCAGTTCTCTAATTAGTAATCTAATCAGGCTGTTGCCACAAAAACCCGCACACGCAGTGGCCCGTTCAGGATAAGGTTGACCACTGCATTAAACAATACTTAGTACACGCTAAAATGTTCCCCAATTCTCCATAAAAAATCAATGAGACAGGACGTGATGTCTTCCTCACACCTGATTTAAAGATAACGATATCCTAAGTAATACTGGGCATACTTCAGTTTGAACTGTTCTTATTGAATGCTGAATATAAATATAACAATATAGACATGCTGCCGATATCTGCTTTTCTGCCCCATAGTAATAGACTGTGGCAACCCTACACCTTTACGGAATGGAGGTCTGAACTTCCTCTCCGGCTCACAGAACCAGTACCTCTCTGTCATTCAGTATCACTGCAATGAGCCATACTACTCCCTGGCAGTGGAGAACAATGGTGAGCACTATCTCAACTCAGAGTAATTCCTCTGATAAAGCTCATACTATAGATGAAAGCTCGTCTCTAGGTAGACATGTTTGTAATTTTTAATTGAATAAACAAATAGTAGAAAAATGTTCTACTGTGTGAGTTGAGTTGAGACATCTGTAATTACCTTTTCTGTCTGACGAAAAAGCAGCGATGTGTTGCTCAAGTGGTTCACGGATCTGTGCGCACATCTACAAGGTCTTCCGTTCAAATCTTGTGGCTGTCAGCATAACCGTACCACCAGCACACCTTCAGGCAAGGGTCCACTAACCCCAATTCCCTCAGAGATGATGGTTGACCATGCTACCTGCTCCTTGCTTGTACAAAAGCTACATAAATGTATCCTAATTCTTTTTTATGGGATCTCAGATATGAGATCCTATGTTTCATTGTTGCAGTGTGGAAAAGCAAAAACTAGATCAGGGAAAGTCAGATTCATGAAGGAATATGGTGGAGTGGTGGATGGTGAGAGAAATGTCATTCTGGTGTATGTTCCACATCACAGAGATTCTCCTAAACCCAGCCTTATGAGCTGAAGAAAAAAGTACAGCGAACCACCACAAAACCTGTCCCAGGGAAGACATTTGTCTTGACAAAATGAAAAATTAATCAAATAAAAAAGAAATATCAAAGGAGACAACAATGTCAGAGAGGTGCCTTAACACACTTTGGAAGCACTGCACAGGCATGAAAATGCCTCATAATGATTTCCCTCCCCTTTGCTCAGTAAACTACACCTGTGCAGCGGACCGGAAATGGAAAGACAGTAAAAACAATTACATCATTCCTACATGTTTACCAGGTAAATTATTTCTTTTGGTCCAGTGACTAAAATTCACCCTGCAGCAGCTTAGAATCACACATATTCTGTACGGTCTGGTTACTCAAAAATGTTTGGTCACTACTGATTGAGTAATTAAAAATAAACAGCTCTGACTGATTTCACAACTATTGACAAACTTTAATTGACCATTTAAATTGTGAATAAACAACTTCATAAGAAAAGATAACATCAGTCTTAACATTTACACTGTACAATCACTAAGGTAGCATCTAAATTTGAAATAGAAATGGCAGTCCTGCCTTAGTCCTGCACTGGGTAAGCCGTGATGGATGAAATGGTAATCCTCCAGAAGTCTGACCAATCTAAGTGTGTCTCTCATTCAGTATGTGGCCGGCCCACCTTCCGCAGCCATCAGAAAGTGCTGGGTGGGGCAGATGCAGCCCTGGGGCAATTTCCCTGGCAGGTACTCCTGGAAGTGCTGGGAGGGCATGGTGGAGCTGCCGTGATCGGCGAGCACTGGATTCTGACAGCGGCTCACAACCTCTTCCCATCCCTCAGGACGACGCTGCACCCGCTAAAGGCCTTTAAGGTGTGCTCACGGTAAACATCTCAGACTCTACATTGGCAGAGAAAACTCGATTCTGGTCATATATACCTTAACGTATTATATCACTGTATAAATGGTCAAAATTTGTGATTTAAAATCTATTTCTTTCAACTCTACTACTCATTATTGAAACTCTAGATCCCTAATATTCAAATCACAGTCCTTGAGGTCCGAGCACTGCTGGCCTTTTCCAGCCGTCCTTTACCTGTGAGCGAGGTGTGAAATCTCTGACCACTAATTATTAAACTAACTACCTGGGAGAACTGAAAACAAGGCCTGGATTTGTAATCGAGGTCCAGATTTGAAGAGCCCTGCTCTAGATCAACATCTATAACTTTGCTAATTTAATAGCCGTTAGCAAAATTTTTGACTTAACTGCTCTTTGCAGAGTCAGATAAAGTAAAAAATTATAAAATTTCATAAGATACAATGTACTGTACTTTGCTGATCCTGGGGGAAATCCTTTTCCATACATCAGCAAATACATAAAATGCACATACAGATATATGAGAGGGTACACATAGCATAGATAAGTAGATAAGTAAACAAAATGCAAACAAATTTGAAACCATTATCAAACCAGTGAGGCGCAGTGATGTAATATGACATGAGACAGGGGTTGTTATATCCACATGATTCCGGTGATCACAATCACATGACAAACTAATCTCATTGTTTAATCTCTCCTCTCAAGGTTTATGCAGGGCACAATGATATGGATGAACTGTACATGCGTCCTGATCTTCCCATAGCCTCCATACATCCCCACCCTCAGTACCACAATCCAAGTGCCAAGGACTATGACAATGACATCGCCCTCATCAAGCTGAAGGAGGCAATCACATTCAATGCCACACTTATGCCATTGTGTTTGCCACCCAAGGATGCGAAATACATCCCAAGATCATTAGGGTGAGTGTGTGAAAGCTTTTCCTCACAGAAAAACCTCTGGATCTACCAACTGATTTTCATTTTTTATTTTTTTTTTATTTTACGTCAATGTAAAATTTATTTAATCTTGCTGTTTCAATAGAATGTGTTAATGAATTAAATGTCATCCACAAAAACTAACCAAAAAAAGTAGCACTTTCACAAGCTGTACTTGCTTTTACGATGACAACCACCCAACCTTTATAGGCAATGTGCTGTTACTTGCTATTATTCAGGATGGTCTCGGGATTTGGCATCACAGAGAACAACATGGTCTCCAAGAAACTAAAGTACATTCCCACAGTCCTGGTGGAAGAAGTCACATGCAAACGCTTCATTGACAATGAAAAAATTAAATTTAGCAGCATTCCAAGCTTGACTGACAATATGTTCTGTGCCGGAGGAGAGAGGACGGGCCAGGATTCCTGTGAAGGAGACAGCGGAGGTGCCCTGACCCTGCAAATACCGCATGGACCACACTGGGCAGCTGGGATTGTTAGCTGGGGAGTTGGTTGTGGAATGAAGGGGACTTACGGTGTTTACACTCGTGTTGACAAATACGTTGACTGGATAAAGAAAACAATGGAGGAAAATTAATTGAGACAAGAAAAAGTATTGACGGATGACAGATCACCAATAAAGCACCAATAAAGAGATGGTGAGAGAAAATGGGAGACATATAACTTTCTTTTCAAAGCTACTGCCAATAATGACTGAAAATTAAATTTTTATTTGAGTATATTCTACACTAATCTCATGCACTTGCAAAGCTATCACAGTTTTTTAACAAAGATAAATGAATGCAAGATTAGTTCAGAAAATACATCATGCTGCCCTTCGCTTTTTGTCGTCTGAAATTAGCATTATGCCCTCAAGCTTTCAATTACCTTGCTTTCTTTTGATCTATTTACTTATCTTCTTTGTTGTCACAGCAGTACTTGTAGCCAAAACAACAACAAACACAAAGTGATAATGTTAATATACATGCAGAAAAATCATTGTTCTGAAAGAAATAATGCTAATTGCATAACTAAATGCTGTAATGTAGGCTGCTTTTGTTTTGAATAACTTTACTACAGATAATTTTATCTTATAATATAAAATGGTCAACATCTGAATCTTTTTAATAAAGCTTAAGAATAAATTGAAACGTGTTTTTCATGAGTTATACACAAAAAGACTGAGATGCCAAATCAGAATCCTGAAGTGTCTCACTGGCATCCATAGCAGAATATCCAAAAAGACAGAGGGGGAGAGGGCAAAATGGGGATGACTAAATTATAAGCATTTTATTTCAATAAAAAAAAAGCCACAAGCTTTGATTTAGTTCTAAAATGAGATTTTTAGCTGGACAATGGTAGCATGCTTGGTGTCACCGACATGTATCCAAATTCTCCAGAACTGTGCATGACATAATAAGTATATTTATAGGGTACAGTTGTCTTTATGACATGCCCATGACATAATAGGTATATTTATAGGGTATACTTATCTTTATGACATGCCCATGACATAATAGGTATATTTATAGGGTATACTTATCTTTATTACATGCCCATGACATAATAAGTAATTTATAGGGTATACTTATCTTTATAACATGCCCATGACCTGTACAGTAATTTTTTGTAATCATTTGGTCAAAAACTATTCCAATTTTTTTTCCATATTATAACTCTTATTTTATAATAGGAAATACTGTGTTTAGTATATATGAATATGCTGATAGGTCAACAACACACTGGTAAGAAAAACTGTGTAGTGTGAGCAGAGGTACGTATATAATGGAAACTCAACCCAAATTTTATACTTTATTTTGCTCCATTTTATTTATAAATTCAGTTTGCTGTTATTTAAATGTCATTTAAATGTATTTTATAGAGGAAGTCCAGAACTAGTTAAAATACAATGAACTATGTGACTTTTAACTATTAATATTATAAACTATGTGACTATTAACAGCAGTGGAAGCTGGTTTTTTAGACAAATTAGTCAAAATTTGAGTCCAACTACCATGTATTTGTAAGAAAGGCATGGAGGAGGCAGCGTCATGGTCGGGGTGGCTTTGCTGGTCAGAGTTGGTACTTTACCGAATCCACATCAATCTCAACCCTCATGCCTGTTATAGAATCCCTCCAAGGCATAAGCAATCCTCCATCCTGCAGCCAGATTATGACATAAAACACGATTCTGCAAGAACTCTCTGGCAAAGGAGTGTCCCACCTGTCATAATACTGTGCAAACAGAAAAAAAGAGGAGAGGAACAAAAACCTTAGGTTGGAATAGCAGGGGTAAAACTTTTTAGGATCCAAGGTCTGATGGTCCACCACTCCAATGCGCACTAACTACTCAAATCCAATTATAAGTCCAAATATCAGCAGGTAGGTAACATTCAGCTGGTCAGGTTCTGCTGCAGTGTGATCTGCTGCAGATCTCCATTGACCTTCCCAGTAAGAAGCAGGGAGCCATTATAGTACAGAAAGAACTTGCAGGCTTAGTATAGTAGACCTAAGTTACCAGGGCAAGAGAACTTCTGTATTTTTCAAGTTCAACGACAGGTAGTTAGCACTTCTGAATTTCTTAGTAACAGTGGACTATGCTGGCTCGAGACATACACTCACCTAAAGCATTATTAGGAACACCATACTAATACGGTGTTTGACCCCCTTTCGCCTTCAGAACTGCCTTAATTCTACGTGGCATTGATTCAACAAGGTGC